TTGGCCTGCCGAACTCCAAACAAACACCACTTTTGCGTCCTTTGCAGGGTGAGTCATGGGGTTTGCTGGGATATGATCAGGATGAGATGTGCAGGAAATGAGTTGATGCTTTCATGCCCCTGAATGCAAAATTACTAAAGCGCCTTCCCTGCCAATGTAGGGTGTCTTCAAAGAGCACAGAACTGGTTATACCATCTATGACTCAAAACCAACATTTGCTTTCTCTTCGGGTAATTCCTCCCTATTGTTTTTCATCACACAGCTGTAATATTTAAAGAGCACAGGTGTAAAGAGCTTTGTTTAGGATTTCATTGAGCCCAGCAGTTGACAGCTGGACTGCCCCTGGTCCCCACCCTGATACTTATGCTCAATTATCACAACTTCATTTAATTGTCCCAATAAAACAATCCAGCTGCATAAACATGTAACAGTGGGTGTGAGATTTAGAACAGGGATTCCTTTCTTGCCATGGATATACGGCCGTCTGCCAACGCAAATGAATCATTTCACACTGTGGCGTGGTGGTTAAAAGGTGGCTGAAGTAGAGCGCAGCTCCGCGGCACCTTGCTGGGACAACGTGTTGCTTTCTTATGCATCCATCACAGTGAACGACCCTCTTCCCAAATGGTTGCCACATAGACTTTGTGCTGCCCCATTTGGGGTGCTTTCATGGTGGGTTCTGCTGTTGATCTGCCCATGCGGGGTGTGAGGATGGGGGCTCAACGTTAAGGTGATATGGGGGAGGGTCCCTGGAAGCCGTGATATAGTAATTACATGAACTGCCTATTTCAATAGAACTGATGAGCTCAAAGTCTCTGTCTTTCTTACTTGTGTGCTTTGCTCCAAAGCAAGTTCTGATTGTGGGGGCGAAATTGAAAGCACCTTGATAATCTAACAATAATGCTTCTTGCACAAGATAATTATATTAACCTTAATGGTGTTTTGAGTTACTGCACAATCGGCTGTGACTTATACAAATACACCGTACTCAGAGATCTTGACAGATCTTGTTCATACACTCAAGTATCCCTGTCTCTTGAGAGGTGTAATTACTGAGTTTGGACATATTTCTCTGTTCTGCTTTATGTCCATCCTCACTCAATGCTTTGACACATGTAGTGGCTCTTTCCTTCGTCCCAACAGACTGACCCACCAGCCATCCAATCATAATTGATTAGTTTTAAAACTACGCAGAAAGCTTGTTTCCACTATGGCCAGACTGGAAACAATCCTTCATATTACAAGCATGACATGAGTCTGATGGACTGAACTGAACTATAGAGAGAGGATAAGAGCTTTATTTGGAATGAAACAGGGTTATATCAGAAATTCAAGTTTGGGGTCGGTAAGATTTTTACACCGATTTTTTTAAAGAAATCACTTATGCTATTTGTTTGATAAAACTTACTGTAAACGCAGTAATATTGTGACATTTTACTATTTTCAGGAAACTTTTCTTATCTTTTACTCTTTGATGAATAGAACTGCATTTATTTGAAACAGAAATCTTTTGTAAGATTATAGATGTCTTTCTTGTCACTCTATAAATATATTTATATATATGTATCTATGTGTATTACACACACACACACACACACACATATATATGTAGGCCTAGGATATGAGCACATAATACTAATTACCAGCAGTTCTGGCTGGACAGTCATACAAAACCTTGGCAGGATAATCTCAGTCATGTTGTTTTCAGACCAGACCTCCTAAATGTGATAATATTGTCCCACAAGGACCAGCCAATCTTTCAGCCTTAAAGTGAGAATGTGACAAAGAAAGACATGAATGATATGTTTTTCTTGACTGATGATCTAACGCAGAGAGAGGACCCTTGGTATGGCAAGTTTATACAACAGAGAGAGTTGGCCGAGCATAATTCACTTTGAAATCATTTTCATCATTCTGAGGGAAAAAGAATTATTTACGACCCCGGTGGTGATACAGGAATAGGTTCAAGCCCCTTTCCATCTGTGTCCAATCCCAGGCTAATGCTATCATCACCTGTTTCCATGTGCCTCAAGAACATCTGGACGACATTAAAACAAACACACACACAAGGTGCATTTTGTTGACTCTGTGTTTGTGCATGTATTGGCACATGCTTTAGCATTTGGCTCGCATTTGTAAATTTTGCTAAAACAACAAATTAAGATCAAAGAATGGAATGAAAAGTCCTGATTTCAAAAATCAATGTTCTTCATTTTTGAGGTACCAGACTCCTTTGGGAGTTTCGAGCTTGTGTAGATTTATTGCTTTGTTAAACAAACAAAACAAAACAAAAACACGATTGTAATTCATCTGGCTGTATCTTTAGTGATCGCATTTCAGACACTTATGATTAGTTTTAACGTTGTGTTTCTAAAGTCAATGCGTATCAAATTCCAAGTATTTTTCTCAGAAAAATACAGTTTGTTTTACGAGTAAGATGCTGCTAATAATTCATGTATAAAAATACAAACATAAGCACTAAATATGAGTTGGCCTGTGAATCACTTGTCATTAATACATCTGCTTCCTGATTTTAATTGCACAAGGGGCAGGTGCCCTTATTGACAGTGTACTTTTAGTCTAAAATATGCCTTTGGGACCACAACACAGCTGCATTGCATTTTTAACAGTGGTCCATGGACTGCACAGAGATGGGAAGTGCTCTGTTAGGAAACTTTTTCTCCCCAAAACAGACTGGAATCTCTTTATCCATTCGTGTTTCTCCCATGCAACAGCTGTGCAGCTGGTTAGCTGGGAATTAAGTGCAGTACGTCTGCGGTCAGGAGGGACCTCAGCTCCGGCCCTCCCATGTGCATGTAAGGAAGCTATAATGTCATGCAATTGGGGCCGTATTATTGTTGCATGAGACTCGAGGAGTGATGTCAGAGGAAAGAGGAAACTAGCTAACTCCCAACTAAGGGAGCAGAGGTCCAACTGAAACTGGCCAGAGCCCCACATGCTTTAAGTGTTTTTCTTTTTCACTGCCCTTTCATTTTGTCTTGCTTTGTTAATTAGTCATGCAACAATGGGAAGACGGGTTTAGCAAATGCTGATGATTATGTTATGACTAAGGGACCTGCCGTGGATTTGAAGGGGGAAAGAAAGTACATGAAATTGTGTGAAACGTCTATTCATGTCTTCTGGTATGAGGAATTGCTGTATATAGTTATACATTTGATACTATTTGGTACTTGGAAGAATATAATGTGAAATGTTTGTGTTCACACTCTGATTTTGGATTACATGCATTGTTATCTTGGCCCATTGGGCACGTTGAGATTTTTTTCAGAAACTCTTGAGGAGATTATTGAAGTCTTTTTATCAGGAGAGAGGAGGGATATCTAAACACTATTAAATCTACAGTTAACCTCATTGATATCTAGGAGAAACAATTGAGAAATTTAAGAGCTCTCATAAGGGATTTATCTTTCCTGAGGGAATGAAATAAACTGAAAGTGGGATTTTAAAGTGGCCCAAACACACTACTGTATGATTACAACTGATCTCTTAGATATGGCAGAAGGGGAGAAAGTGTCTCCCTCTGGAGGAGGAGCTTGTAAAGTGTGCTGCAGTTCTCCGGTTCCCACCAGTTTAGCTTTCACCGCTTATCTTGATTAAGACAAATGAACACATTCTAGCGTCTAATGTTGCAATCTCATTTTATAACATCTGCATTTATAAATGTGACTTGCATTAGTTTTATGAACTATTTGGCAAAGTGTAGAAAATCCATAGATATTTAGAGAAGATGAATTGTATTGGAAAAACATGCCAGGGCGTATTTAAGAGATAATCCAAATGTTTAATTCGTCCTCTAGTTCAGTAGATGGGAAGGTTATATGGATCTTTTTGACCATAAATCCTCTAAAAGAGCAAAGGCTAATGATCAGTGAATGATACTTATCAGACTCCATAAGTGCTTCATCTAATAAATGTATGTCTCTGAGGAGAGATATTGGAATTCTGATCATGATAGATACCATTTAACCTTGGGCAGAGTCCAAGATGGTTGAAATCAGGATCCCAAAGGAACAGTGATCATTCTCACATTGAAAAAAAAAAAAAGATAAATTTGTAAGGCTGTGAGAAAGTTAATATTCATTTGAATTCACTATGCACTAGGGTCATAAAAACGAAAATACACCCTTAAGAATCACACATAAAGTCTCTAATAACGCTATTTATTGATTTATCATGTTTTCCTTACTAAAGAGCAGCGGTTTAACACTACTGCCATGTAGAAATATTGGTGTGAACTTGGTACACTGTAATCATGAGACTCCAGAGAATTATAAATACTATTCGACAGACTCCTAAGGAGGGAAGGGTCGATGACACCATTGTGCAACAACGTCAAATGGATTAAACAATCCTTGTAAGGCCTTTCGCCTGCAACCGTCCAACACTTTCCTGTGTTGATTGGTTCACACTTGATGAAAACATGCAACACTCTTTGAGGTGAAACAACCCACTTTTGTTCTTCAAACGTTGTCACACTAATTCATAAGGAAACAGTTCAGACTCATTTCCATGTGATCCACTATCTCTGTAGTGGTCTAGTTCAAAGCTCTGAGCTGCCCTTTTCTGCTCTTCCAGATCTAGACCAGTGCTGTGTAATGTAGCCAAGTCTTTTCATCATTCGGGTTGGTCTGACTAAAGATATCAGCAGATTGGCTGGGCTGCTGGGAAAAATCCATTGTGACTATGTTTCTTTGGGAATGCGACTTCTAATGTAGTAGCACTACTGGGTGCTTCTTTTATCTGGAACATACTGCTCATATCTAAAGAGCTCTTACCAAACAATCTCTGACTCAGACTGTTCTCACCCTGGTTGACACAAGTCTGAATACACAGTCATCTGAAAAATGCAACAACTGAAGCAGAAATAACATAAATCTTACAAAATGAAACTATTTTGGGGCGGGTATTTTTTACCTATTGTCATCATTTTCCAGACATAATTCTGTAACAAGACTGTTAGAAAATCACCTTCAAGAGAATACTTTGAGTAAAACATTTTAATGAAGAAATTATCTCTATATCTTAACTTCTATATTCATAGTACATAATTCTTTAAAACTAACAATAAATGGGCATCAATGAGGAATCATTTGTCAAAAATACACACCACTGATTTTCTGCTTTCTTTTTTGAGGTAAATCATTTTTGTTTACATTGGTCAAGACATCGACAAAGTTATACATTGTAAAAACAATCAAACAATAAAATGAAAAAATAAACACATAAAGCAATTACACAAATTTTAGAATTAATACTCATTCAACGAAAACATCTTTTATCTGAGAGCTTCAGTGGTCTTAGTAAAAAACAAATATGCCTACTAGATTTCTACCCAGTGGAAAGGTAAGTTAATTATGAGGTTTGAGAATGACACCCCTCAGACCTCCTTTTAGCCAGTGTGTAAAAACACTTAACGTAGGAGATCATCAGAGAGAGCTGTCGCAGTCTGTTAGTGTCTGCATGCTGCTGGTGCAGTGGTCTAATGTGTAGCCCTCCTTCACCGGGACTCCGAGTGCTTTAGTATGGTTAGTGGAGCCGGGCGAAGGGAGGTCACAGCTGGAATGGGTGTAGGCAGTTAATGGTGGCGGTGGACGCGGGATGAAGATGAAGGGTAGTTCATGATAACAGCAGAACAGGTGCTCCAATGCAGAAGTGATGGGTGGTTACTGTGTGTGGTATTTTACCACTTTAGACAACCGAAGGATAAAGGGTAGTGGTTAACCTCAGAGGAAGACTTCACGCTGCTAGGAACGTACATGTTTGTGCTTTAAGAGTTCTTTCCTGACATCTTCATCGTAATGGTTTTCACCTCTGTGTACTCTTTCAGTCCGATCTCACCCCTGGAAAAAAGAGAACAACGGTGTCAGCGTAAACAAGGATGTATAGAAAACACGATTATTACCGTATCTCCTTTTTAAATGCACTTACAGTTCACGACCATTGCCGGACATTTTGAATCCTCCAAAAGGACACTGGCATGTCAGGGCATTATAACAGTTAATCCTGTACAACAAAGACATTTCATAATCTTAGTGATTTCATGATATTACATTCCATTCTGTGAATTTATAAAAAAAACTTCCGTGGTTAAAGATGCGATCACATTGACGAAATATCTGCGAAATATTAGGGAAATTTTTCGCCCTCACAATCACATGAATTCCTATTTAAATGACTGGTTTTCTCCCATTAAAATTTTGCAAACAAAAGGTAAATGTGACTGCACCTTAAGGCGAACGTATAACCCAATAATATTAGGGACCCATACAAAACAAGTGGATGGCATTTGTTTTGCTTTCCATTTTCTGGTGATATGATATAACTCTTACCAGACAGTGCCGGCCTGCACAGCTGCAGAGACTGTCATGGCCTTGTTGAGGTCTCTGGTGAAGACTGCTGCTGCCAGACCATATTCTGTGTCGTTGGCTCTCTCGATCACTTCTTCAATCGTTTTAAACTTCATGATCTGCTGAACTGGCCCAAATATCTACAATAAAAGTTTATTATTATTATACTTTGACATTCGAATTTAGATGTATTATTCTGAGATAAAGAAAGCTTACCTCCTCCTTGGCAATGCGCATGTGGTCCTGTACATCAGAGAAGACCGTGGGCTCCACAAAGAAGCCTTTAGAAGGAGGAGCTTTGCCGCCACACTCCAGTTTAGCTCCCTCAGTGATGCCGCTCTGAATCATCTCCAATACACGTCTCTGCTGATCCACACTCACCTGACACAGTCAAACAGAGATGATGAACTCCTGAATCCTGTGTCTTTTTTTACTGTGGTTATATGGAACTTTTGTAACAGGCAACAAAAAACTTTAAAAAAAATAAATTATGCAGATAATATATATTTTGTCTTGTCTGATTATTAATGTTTCAATGTACAGCTTTTTGCTTAAATTCTGATGGAACTCTCAGATTTTGCAGTCATTTTCTAAATATATATATACACTCACCTAAAGGATTATTAGGAACACCTGTTCAATTTCTCATTAATGCAATTATCTAATCAACCAATCACATGGCAGTTGCTTCAATGCATTTAGGGGTGTGGTCCTGGTCAAGACAATCTCCTGAACTCCAAACTGAATGTCAGAATGGGAAAGAAAGGTGATTTAAGCAATTTTGAGCGTGGCATGGTTGTTGGTGCCAGACGGGCTGGTTTGAGTATTTCACAATCTGCTCAGTTACTGGGATTTTCACGCACAACCATTTCTAGGGTTTACAAAGAATGGTGTGAAAAGGGAAAAACATCCAGTATGCGGCAGTCCTGTGGGCGAAAATGCCTTGTTGATGCTAGAGGTCAGAGGAGAATGGGCCGACTGATTCAAGCTGATAGAAGAGCAACTTTGACTGAAATAACCACTCGTTACAACCAAGGTATGCAGAAAAGCATTTGTGAAGCCACAACATGCACAACCTTGAGGCGGATGGGCTACAACAGCAGAAGACCCCACCGGGTACCACTCATCTCCACTACAAATAGGAAAAAGAGGACAGAATGAGAACATGGATCCATCCTGCCTTGTTACCACTGTGCAGGCTGGTGGTGGTGGTGTAATAGTGTGGGGGATGATTTCTTGGCACACTTTAGGCCCCTTAGTGCCGATTGGGCATCGTTTAAATGCCACGGCCTACCTGAGCATTGTTTCTGACCATGTCCATCCCTTTATGGCCACCATGTAACCATCCTCTGATGGCTACTTCCAGCAGGATAATGCACCATGTTCAAATTGGTTTCTTGAACATGACAATGAGTTCACTGTACTAAAATGGCCCCCACAGTCACCAGATCTCAACCCAATAGAGCATCTTTGGGATGTGGTGAAACGGGAGCTTCGTGCCCTGGATGTGCATCCCACAAATCTCCATCAACTGCAAGATGCTATCCTATCAATATGAAGCCAACATTTCTAAAGAATGCTTTCAGCACCCTGTTGAATCAATGCCACGTAGAATTAAGGCAGTTCTGAATGCGAAAGGGGGTCAAACACAGTATTATTATGGTGTTCCTAATAATCCTTTAGGTGAGTGTATATATATATATATATATATATATATATATATATATATATATATAGGTCTGATGAGTCTCGATTTCTGTTGAGATATTCAGACGGTAGAGTCAGAATTTGGCGTAAACAGAATGAGAACATGGATCCATCATGCCTTGTTACCACTGAGCAGGCTGGTGGTGGTGGTGTAATGGTGTGGGGGATGTTTTCTTGGCACACTCTAGGCCCTTAGTGCCAATTGGGCATCGTTTAAATGCCACGGCCTACCTGAGCATTGTTTCTGACCATGTCCATCCCTTTATGGCCACCATGTACCCATCCTCTGATGGCTACTTCCAGCAGGATAATGCACCATGTCACAAAGCTGAACATGACAATGAGTTCACTGTACTAAAATGGCCTCCACAGTCACCAGATCTCAATCCAATAGAGCATCTTTGGGATGTGGTGGAACGGGAGATTCGCATCATGGATGTGCAGCCGACAAATCTGCGGCAACTGTGTGATGCCATCATGTCAATATGGACCAAACTCCCTGAGGAATGCTTCTAGCACCTTGTTGAATCTATGCCACGAAGAATTGAGGCAGTTCTGAAGGCAAAAGGGGGTCCAACCCTTTACTAGCATGGGGTACCTAATAAAGTGGCCGGTGAGTGTATATATATATATATACAGCAAAAGTTTGGGATCAGTAAGACTTTTCATGTCTTATGCTCTTATTATCAATATTGAAAACTGTTGTGCTGTTTAATTTTTTTTTTTGTGGAAACCGTGATGCATTATTTTCAGGATTCTCAAAAGACCGGCATTTATTTTAAATAGATATCTTTGAACATCTAAATGCATTTTAATGTCACTTTTTATCAATTTTAATGCATCCTTGCTGAATAAAAGATGAATTTCTTAAAAAAAAAATACTGACCCCAAACTTTTGAACGGTAGTATATTATGATTTATAAATGATTTATTTTTATTGTTTTAGGCAATTAATTGGGTCTTACCTGAGGTCCCTGCTCAGTGGTTGGGTCAAAGGGATTTCCCAGTGTCCTTCTCCGAGCTCTCTCAACACTCCTTCGCACAAACTCATCATAAATGGGCTCCTCCACAAAGATACGGGAACCAGCGGTGCAGCATTGACCGTTGTTGAAGAAAACACCCTGATGGGCCTGTTCGACTGCCAACTCAACTGAAACAGAGAGAAAGCACATTATTAAACATCTGCCAGTAATGGACTATACATGGCGCATAAGCATCATTAGTTAAAGATGTGAATTATGTAGACAGTCATTATATTAGATAAATATTTTATTTAAACAAAAGTAAATAACAGGCCAAACAACAGGTGATAAATAAATCTGGACTGTATTTCCTACATTTCAATAAGTCTTTCAAAGTAATTTTTTAACAGACTATAGTTTAAGCAGTTTCTCCCCTTGTTCTTCTGGTGTGTCTGCTGTTTATGCATACATACATGCGTCTGTGTGAGATAATGGACACCTGGGGAAAGGGTGGACTGGCAGGCTGTGGCTTTTGAAGGGTTAATGGAGCAGGCAGATTTACGGCTGTGGTGTGATGGGTCCGGACAGGGTCCATTCGGCTGATTTACGGGAGGCCTTGCTCACGGCTGCTGAAAACATTTAAAGCTCAGACTTATGCCGAGGTTTGGTGGGCTACTTAGAGATACTAAGGACCAGGAGTTTAGGAAGTGAGATAAGCTTATTTGCATGTATATGGGCCTTTCCGAAATATATATTTTTTTGCCCAGACGCAGCTCTAAAAGATCCCTAAGGGTCTTTGATGTGAAGTGACAGAGAAGGTCTCTGGGGTAGCACCTGTGCACAAACTGTTGCAGCGGGACAACAGGAGGGCGGCCGTAAAACAGTGTCTGAATACTTACAATCAGCATCTGCAAAAATGATGTTGGGACTCTTTCCCCCGAGCTCTAGCGTGACTCTCTTCAGATTGCTCTTTCCTGCTGCTTCTTGGATCAGCTTGCCTACCTGTGGAGAGAGAGGAGAGCCACTTTAATCACTGAGACACCACAGAAGAGCTTTACTAAATCTCAACATCAGTGGGATGCTGTCATTAATAAATCCTGCTGCATGAGGAGGCTCCCTTTGACAAGACAACCAGCTCCATTATCAGGCCCCTGAGCTTCGGCTCACATCCTAAATATCTATTAGTGCTTAACGTGACAGCCAAAGAGAATGGAATGTCCTACACACAACAGTATCTGTTGGTTAATTCGAGAACAGGAAAAGCTGACTCCAGGCTTGTATAGGATGCTCAACGCTGTTTGGAGTCACAAAATAACAGTGAAACAAGACCCTTAAAATGCATTTATTGGCTTTGTTAGTGCATAAATGAAAACATATGTATGTGTGATTATCAAGGAGCACATTTCTTTTTAACAAAAGTCTACTGTTTTATAATTCCATGTTGTTTGCAGCTCTTCCCTGAATCGATTCAAATCCAAACTGAATTTCACACTTCTCTTCCCTTAAAGTTTCACATTAGCGGTGGACTGGCTCTCATCTTACATGCTGTTCAGGCCCTTGTAAGCACCGCAGACATCGCACAGCTGCTGGCCGTGGCGTTGCTTCACATCTCAGAGAACATTATGCTCACATCAAACTATTCTCTTCCAACTGTATGTGTGTGTGTGTCTGTGTCTGTGTGAGTAAGAGAGAGAGAGAGAGAGAGAGAGAAAGACCTTTTCAATCTTCACAGCCAGCTCAGCGCTTTAGAGGCTGGCAAGCAGCACTCCTAACCATAAACAAACATTTGTACATTTTTCCTTTCTGCAAAACATACTTACTGACAGTGAATATTTTCTCTATCTGTTTTCCATCAGATAGCGGAAAGAGAAGGGGAGAAGACGGAGGGAAAACAATCTTCCTCAGTTCCCTCTGACACTATCGTTCAGTGGAAAAATGGACGAACGTCATACCTCTCACTGATACTATACATATGTGAGTGTTTTTGTCAGTTTTGGGGAAGCTAGTTTTTCAAGCTACAAGATAGTTGAAGTAGTTAAACTGTAGTAAAGCTATAGATAGCTAAACCAGATAACCATAGTAATGAGGAGAACGTTCAAAAGAACAGCCTTAATTTGAAATAGAAATCTTTTGTAATGTCTTTACAGTAACTTTTGATCAATTTAATGTATACTTACTGACTAAAATTATTAATTTATTTAACAAAAACTCACTGACCCCAAACCTTTGAACAATAGTGTATAACTATCTATTAATAGCCTATAGTTGAATGGATGAATGAACATCAAACTTGAACTGATACATTTACACAAAATTCAAATATAATATTCACTAAAGTATAATGTGACTGATTTGAAGTGAAAAAAAAAAACTGATTTAAATTGCCATGTAGGAACTCAAATCAGCTCATTTACAAGATTCATCTGAACAAACGGATTCACTAGAATAAATCAGACTTTCCAATGCCACATATAAGGGAGAGAATCGCTTAGGACAAACTGATTCACTAGAAATGAATCATTCTTTTCAAAGTCACATAAATGAAGGAATCGCTTCGGATTATTCAATTCATTAGAATGAATCTGACTTTCCAATGCCACATTTGAGTAAGAGTGTGATTTCCTCAGCTCAGACATAAACAAAAAAAAGATGTAGTACTTGGTTGCACTAACTGGTGTAACGCTAATCGCTGAAAAAAAACCTTGTGGCTTAAAAACCATTAAGTTACTACTGGTGCTTTGTTTAGTTAGTTACTCCTGGTTTGACCGGAGGTATGACCATTATTTTGTATATAATAATAATAAAACAATTTTAAAATGTGGTTCAATGTGCTTTTTAATTCATATAAAACATAAGAAATATAATGAAATATACTTCATTTAAGAAATTACACTGCACACTTGTCACAAAGGGGCTAGACTCCACAAATAGCAGCAATGGGCTGGTCATAACACACCAGAATCCTCCACTCCCTCAGGGAGCTGCTCCCCTGTCCCCCCCACCCCTGGTCCAGTCCTCCCTTATACACAGACAGCTGAAGTGACTCAGAGTCTGTGTATGTACACACACACGCACAGCATGAGAGATCTCGGCTGTCTAATCAAGTCCAGATTAGATCCCAGCGACAGCCACAGCAGCAGTGCTGACGCGAGAAGAGGAACCAAACCTTCACTTCGCTGCCAGTGAAGAGGAAGGGCGGGAGGGTGGGGTGTATGGTGATGAGTTTCCTCTGAAAGTCAGTCAGTGGAAGTGTGGGTGAAGTCGAGTGGGTTGGTAAAGTTTTCACAGTGACGCTACACTCATTTGAGGATTTGTGTGGCCTTTTGTTTGTTTCTTTCCAAGTCTCAGTCATCACATTCTTGTTTTATCAATAACATTTTGATTTAAAAGAAAGAAATAGTCATCGCAGTCATCAAAATAGCAGAGAACTGGGAAATGACTTAACTCCCATTTCCCACAAAATAAAACATTTGTTGCATTCCAACAAGTGTTTTTCAAGGGCACGAGCTTAGTTTGTTTTCTGTGGAAACAACACTTCTGTTTGTACTCCTATCAGTGAGAGAAGTCTTGTGCTATACACAGACCCATAAACACCGTTCTCTGTTTCTTTAACAATGAAGATAAACACTAAGTATATTTACACTACTGAATACTGTTCAATAGAGTTTTTAATATTTTTGAAAGGTTCTTATGCTCACCCAGGCTGCAATTATTTGTTAAAAAACACAATAAAACAGTAATATTGTGAAATATTATCTATTTTAAAATGTAATTTATTCCTGTGATTGTAAAGCTGTAAAGCAGCATCATTACTCCAGTCTTCAGTGTCACATGATCCTTCAGAAATCATTCTAATATGCTGATTTGGTGCTTATTATCAATGTTGAAAACAGTGCTGCTTAATCATTTTGTGGAAACTGATACTTTTTTCACGATCCTTTGATTAATATAATGTTCAAAGAACAGCATTTATTCTAAATATATTTATTTTTGTAACATTATAAATGTATTTACTGTTACTTTTGATCAATTTAATGCATCCTTGCTGAAAAAAAAGTATTCATTCTTTGAAAAAAATACTGACCGAGATGACTGAACTTTTGAAAAGTAGTGTACATGACGTTATCCACGTTAATTGAACAAATAATGACCTCGCCACTGTAGTAATTTGCAACGCAAATATTCATGTATACTTGGAGAGATCGATGAAGACTGTAGCTCCACTATGCAAAAAAAACCCCGCTGTAACTCGA